CGGTCCCTGATGCTTTGCCAAGCTTGTTCTAAGTAGGTGCCTTAGACCACTGAGCCATCTCTCCAGCCCCTGCCATCTGCCTTTTATTTATCCACATTTTCTATCTTGTCTTACACTGTTGATCGTGACTTACTAATTCAAAGAATACCTTTAGCAACACTAGCTTCTTCACACAAGTCTTTGTTCTGTAGAAGTGCCAAGAGAGTGGATTTCTACATGCTGTACCTAGTTGTCACACAAGTACAGCTCATTGCGCCACAATTTCCTTCTTTTCAATTGTGATTGCCTTCTTTAACTTCTTTTCCTTCATTAGCTTTTCTTTTCTTTTTTTTATTAGCTTCTTTTCTACTTTTTTTTTTTTTTTTCCAGAATTGGTTATTGAACTCAAGCACTTACTCTACTGAGCCATCTCCCTGGCCCCTTTTCTACCTTTCTGGGGGATCATTTAGATACCAGTAATCGTAGCAAGTATATAAAACACTGATTGATCTCACATCCATAAACACGTGTCTGAGCTCAGATGTCTGATGCCTGTGTATGCTTGCATGTGCTTTTCTGGCATTGTAAGTCTTGTGTACAGCCACACAAGCAGCTGATAGGGCATACATCTTTTTTTTTTTTTTTTTTGGCAGAACCTGGGATTGAACTCAGGCCCTTGCACTTGCCAGGGAAGCACTCGTTCCACAGAGCCATCTCCCCAGCCCAGGGCATACATCATTGATCATAAGTGAAACCTGAAATTCTGGTTGTAACCCAATTTGTCTGCATGTGGGACCAGTTATAGCTCAACGGTCCAGTGTACTAATTGCTAGGTGTGGTGGCACATGCCTGTAATCAAAGCACTGGGAAGACTGAGGCAGAAGTATCACTGACTTTGAGGCCAGCCTGAGCTACATAATGAGACTCTGTCTCAAAAGACTAAAAATAGTAATCACTCTATTTAAGTAGAACAGTTTGAACTGAGGCACATGTATTTGGTGAGAGAGGACTGAAATCAGGGCTATAGCTCAGTGGCATAAGCACTTGCCTGGCAAGTGCAAGGTCCTAAGTTCAAGTCCCAGCCTCCCCAAAAAAAAAAAAAAAAAAAAAAAAAAGTGAGAGCTAAAATTCTTGCCTAAATTTTCTAGAACATCATTGTGCCCCTTTCCTCTTTATTTAATAATAAATTTGGCCAAGAAATAGGAATAACCTAAATAGTAGATATTGTGCTAGGAGATCCTGAAATCTAACAATGTAGGAAGTCTCATGAACTCTTAGTTTAATAGAGCATAAAACAGCAGGCACTCCCAGTGCCTGACATGGAATAGTGTCCCAGCTTGGGATGTTGAGGCGGATCACAAGTGTGAGGCCGGTGGGGCTACATAGCAAGTTCAGGGCCATCCTGGACTACACAGAGCTAGTCTCAATAAAACAGTTTTTCGTCAGTGATTCTAGTGCAGCATAAGAGGTGTGTGCCAAGGGAACACAGGGAAGGCAATGTCCTGTTCGGAAGTTGTTAGAGAAGGAGTAGAAGGGTGAGTTGGAGTCCCAGGTGTTGTTGGTTGGCCTGTTCTGGGAGTGATGAGCAGTGTAGAGCATTTCAGGGAAATGGTAGAATAAGAAGCTGAAAGACATGTTGGTCTCAAACTATGAAAAGCTTTGATGCCATTCTGAACAAACTATAATGGGGAGCCTTTCTTCCTGCGCTGCACTTTTCCACTAACTACACTCTGTTGTGTGCCTCCCAGCCTTTTCATATTTGCATAGTGCGCAGGAGGAAAGGAGCCTGCTGGAGGTAAAAAGGGAGCAGCTAGTGGGTCTGAAGCTGTTGGTATTCTGAGCTTCTAAGCTGAGCAACATCGGCAACCTCAGTATTCCGCTGGGGAGTTTGGCTCCTTGAACTGTGCTGAACAGTAGAAGTACTCACTAACTTTGGTGATAGAAACCAGCCTTAAATGAACTTATACCGTTGACTCATTCATTCCATTCTTAAAACACCTCCCAAATATATAACAAAAGAGAAGAAAGCCATTGTAGTTTATGTGTAATAGAGAAAGCCAACCACTGGGTGGTAGGTGAATCATTTTTTGTGAGTTCCTTGTGGAAGGTTGCATTGGCATCAGAGACTTGTGAATGTCTTGTAAAACCACAAAGGGACATTCATATTCATTGGACAGCATCTAGTGAGTGCCTGCTGCCTTCCGAGGATGGGATGGTGAGCAGGCTGGCTGGGGTCCTTGCCCTTGTAGAGCTCAGTGTCTGGAGGGAATCAGGAAGGCAGATAGGCTGCTACGCTGGGCAGCGGCTGCTGTTTTAACCGTCCAGCAGGCTGCACAGGGGCCAGGCTTCTGAGGTCTGGGGAATAGGACAGGGTGGCAGTCCTCAGGCCTAGAGAATGAGAAGTGAAGGGACAGGTGCTGTTAAGAGTGAGCATGGTGCAGGTGAAGCAGGGAGAGAGCAGCAGGGAACCGAGCCAGAGAGGCCCAGATGACAAATTGTGGAAATGTGTGTATCCCCAGGTCAGAAGCTTGTACCTCATTCCCAGGGCAGCAGGAGGTTGTTTCCTGCAAGAGAGACTGTTACCCTAATATACTGGATGCTCTCCATGACTGTGGTGTAGAGAAGGGATTGGAGTGGGCAGGAAAGCAGCCCTGAGGCCTGTGCATTCAGAGGCTGTTGCAGCAGCCCAGATGGGAGGTGATGGGGGCCTGCAGGCCATGGAGCTGGTGAGGAGGCAGGAATGACAGGGCCCAGAGAGCTAATGAAGGTTTTAAAAAAACTGGAAGGGAAGTAATGCTTTGATCTGCTAGGATATTGGCAATTGAAGCATCCCCATGGCTGTTTGGAAGTTTGCTGAAGGCCAGACCAAGAGGCTTCCATGGTGTCAGGACTCAGTTAATGCTCCTTCCCATGCCTTGTTTCTCTCCAGGGGCTGTGATCCAATGCTGGGTGCCATGGAAGGGTTGCTGGCGAGATGCAGAGTGGGGTTCAGGCTGACCACCAGTACCCCGCAGCTCTCCAGGTCCTTGCCCCACAGGTGTCAGCACTGTGCCCCGGGGAGAGGGCAGCGCCTGGTACTGTCCCGCATGTTCCAGCCACAGAACCTGCGGGAAGACCAGGTGCTGGCCCTGGAGGCCAGGCCTGGCAACCTGACCTGTAAGAGCCAGCAGCTAATGCTGCAGGGGGGCCTGATCCTCCCAGCAAGCCCTGGCTGTTACCATCTCCTTCCCTACACTGTCCGAGCCATGGAGAAGCTGGTGCGGGTGATAGACCAGGAGATGCAGGCCATTGGGGGTCAGAAAATTGACATGCCCAGCCTCAGCCCAGCAGAACTCTGGCGAGCCACCAACCGCTGGCAGTTAATGGACAAGGAGCTGCTGAGGCTTAGAGACAGACATGGCAAAGAATACTGTTTAGGACCAACTCATGAGGAAGCTGTGACAGCCCTGATCGCCTCCCAGAAAAATCTATCCTACAAGCAGCTTCCATTCCTGCTGTACCAAGTAACAAGGAAGTTTCGGGATGAGCCCAGGCCCCGCTTTGGTCTTCTCCGGGGCCGTGAGTTTTACATGAAGGATATGTACACCTTTGACTCCTCCCCAGAGGCTGCTCGGCAGACCTACAGTCTGGTTTGCGATGCCTACTGCCGCCTCTTTAACAGGTTGGGGCTGCAGTTCATCAAGGCTCAGGCAGATGTGGGCAGCATCGGGGGCACCATGTCTCATGAGTTCCAGCTGCCAGTGGATGTTGGAGAGGACCGGCTTGTCGTCTGTCCCAGCTGCAGTTTCTCAGCCAACAAGGAGACCCTAGACTCATTACAAACAAACTGCCCTGCCTGTCAGGGCCCTCTGACTGAAACCAAAGGCATTGAAGTAGGGCACACATTCTACCTGGGGACCAAGTACTCCTCTGTTTTCAGTGCCCAGTTTGTCAATGCCCACGGCGAACTGTCCCTGGCTGAAATGGGGTGCTATGGCCTGGGTGTGACACGGATCTTGGCTGCTGCCATTGAAGTTCTGTCTACAGAAGGCTGCATCCGTTGGCCCAGACTTCTCGCCCCTTATCAAGTCTGCCTCATCCCTCCTAAGAAAGGCAGCAAGGAGGCAGCGGCCGCAGAGCTGGTGGAGCACTTGCACGACCACATCGTAGAAGGGGTCCCTCAGCTCCAAGGGGAGATCCTGCTGGACGATCGGACCCATCTGACCATTGGAAACAGACTGAAAGACGCCAACAAACTTGGCTACCCATTCGTGATTGTTGCTGGCAAGAGGGCCCTGGAGGACCCGGCACATTTTGAGGTTTGGTGCCAGGACACTGGTGAGGCAGTCTTCCTCACCAGAGAAGGAATCATGGAGCTCCTGGCCCAAGTGCAGGTTGCCTGAGCGCCCATGCTGTCACTAACTGCATTTCCTGTCCTGTACCTGGGCGTTAGTTCAGAAACAGCAGCTCATGAGGGTTATACCGCTGTAGTGGAACCAGTTTTATCTACTCATTCGCTTGGGTTATTTGTATATGAAGTCGTTAACCTGATCACCTTCTCTCAGGTGGCTATGCGCCACATGCCAGTCCTTTGTGGAAGCTTCTTGCAGGAGTCTGAGAGGCAAGAAAGGCCAAGTTCTAGTCCTGGCCCTTAGCCAAGTCCCTTCTCTTCTCAGCTGAGTTTCTCATGTGTAGAACAGGAATGGCTGAAGGGCACGATCCCCTCACCACACCTTGTCCCGCCAGTCTACCATGGGCCTCTGTTGTACTCAGCCCAGAGAACAGGGCTGCCACCACTCCCCTACTGAGAATCAGGGTCTGCTGCTGCCGCAGGTTCAGTTTCCTGATCTTTAACATGAGGGAATGTAACTAGATCTGTAAAGTCCTTATAACTCCCTGCAAGTTAACAATGGCCTGGTGGCCCAAAAAGCTCCAGAGCCCCAGCCCTACTGAGGTGGCTGAAGCACTGAGATCATGTTCTGTTGATTGAATAAAGTCTGACTGTTGGGATGAGCCTTTCAAGTTAACTTGAAACACGAAATATTGGCTATTTTAACAGCATCCAATAACTTACTGCTTGTAATTTTTTTTTCCTGCTATTTCCATACTAAAAAAAAAAAAAAAAAAAAAAAGAGGGCCGGGGAGATGGCTCAGTAGAATAAGCGCTTGCCTGGCAAGTGCAAGGGCCTGAGTTCAATCCCCACTTCCGTTAAAAAAGAAAAAAGGAAGGAGAGGGCCAGCGAGATAGCTCAGCAGACTAAGTGCCAGCTTAGGCAAGCGCAGGGAATGGGGTTTGATCACCTGTATCACATGCCACAGCAGCCCTGCCCCTGGTCCCACTGAGCCTACAGAGTCCGGATGTGGCACACACCTGTAATCCCAGCACTGGGGAAGCTGAAAACAAGAGGATCACTGCAAGTCAGAACTGTGTAGTTAGACCCTGTACCAAATACATAAAAAAAAAAAAAAAAAAGGGACAGTTGGAAATATGTTTCAAATCATTTCTTCTCACAGGTATTAGGCAGCAGGCTTCAACCCCACGATAACCTTGTCCTGGGTGCAGCATGGATCCCAGAGCTGCAACAAGGAGTGACCACTGAGAACTTTCTCTGCCTGAACTCTGGGAGGCTGGCAGCAGGCCTGAGCTCCACCACAATGCTGCCTGCTTCAGCTCTCCTGCCTGCTAGATGAGGAACATAACCAGGTTCCTACATGTCCAGGCAAAGCAAAAGCCACTCCTGGAACCCTGCCTGGCAGCTTTTGGAAGTGATTCTTCCCTCTGCCTCTCACAGCCCTGATCACACAGCTTCTTGTTCTGCAGGTAGAGTCTGGGTGGTCTTGTCCGTCATCTCCATCATAGCAAATGTGAAGCAAGGAGCCTGCACACTTTTCTAGGGTACCTCAAGGCCTGACTTGACAACTGCTCCACCTGTGGCACAGCTTCCTGATTGCCATTCCAGCCCCTGCTGATCCTGCTAGAGTAACCCCCACCCCAAGCACACCAGCCTGGTTTCTTAGTGCCTGTATCTACTGAGCCCTCTGGGCTTCCTGGCCTCCCTTTGGACCTCTGGGTTGCATTGAGTCCTTCAGATGCTTGGGCCATACCAGGATTCCGAGAGCAAGCTCAGAAAGGCCAGATCAAGGGCTGGGGAGATGGCTCAGTGGAATAAATGCTTCCCTGGCAAGTGCTAAGGCCTGAGTTCAATCCCCGGTTTCACCAAAAAAGAAAAAAGAAAGGCCAGATCACCAGGGAGAGGGGTTTGACCTTACTGTGGTGGAGTCACTTTGTTTCTCCAGGCGATGATCCATGAAATATGGCCTGACCATGGGGAGGGTTCCTGGGGTGAGAGCTGCCACCTTGGGGCTCACCTTTTTGTTGAGCATTTTGGGGATGCTTTTGGTGGGGCGTTAACAGACTCTGCCAACTCTGCTCCTAATGGTTCAGTTGTTAAGCCCTGTTATTGCCACTGCCATTTCCAGGCCTCGACACCATGCACAGCAGATGCTGTTATTTTATAGATGAGGAAACCTTGGGTTCCCTTAAGCAACTGACTGAAGGCTGCACTGCTGATGAACAGCTGGAATCTGGGCACAGGCCAAACCTGCCCTTCTCACTACACTGCTTGGCCTCTGCATAGGCCCAGTGATTTTAATAAGCAAAACTAAATTTATGTCTGTCTAAACCATTAGCCTCCAATGCATAAGAAATTAGAATTCATGCAAATGGATTCTTTAAATAACATTTTTAAACTTTAAATGTGTGCTCCATAAACTTGCTTATTTATAGAAGGCTAGCCTAATGGCATTTTTAAAAACCAGATGCCAGGAACAGAAAGCCAGTTCATTTTAAACTCCATGAATGTGGATGCCTTGGGCTAATCAGGATGAGGGATAGTCCTGGAACTTCAGAACAGAGAATTTGAAGCCAGCTTCTCCAGCCCTGGATCACAGATGGGAAGCAGCCTGGGGCAGGCTGGCACTGCCATTCACCATCCGATTAGCAAAGGCCAGGTGGGCACATGGCCTTCTGCTCAGTCCTGCTGCAGGAAGAGAATGTGGGCTGGCTCAGCCTTTGAGCTGCCAGTGCCTCAGAAGCTGCTAAAATTGGTACCTGTTCCTCTTAAGTTTATAACATGAGACAACACAGGACAGTGATATGCCCAAGGTCAAGATGAATGAAACCTAGGCATCCTGATCACAAAGCCAGGGTTCCTTCAGGTATCCAGAGCTGTACAATTTGATGGGAAGCTCAGAGCTTTGAAGAGACATGATCCTAGATTCGCCACTTAATGGGGACGTGACCTGAGACAGATTGCTTGCCCTTTGCTCATCTCAGACTCTCCCCTGGTAAGTGCTCGTGCTAATGGTTCCTGCCCTGTGGTGTGGTCTGGGCTGACAGCGCTCACTTATGTGAAATGCTTGACCCTTCGCCTGTACTTCCCCCAGGAGCTCTGGCATTGCCGTTCACTATCTCAAAACTTGGATCTTATTTTCTTGATAGGATGCTTTATAGCCTTCCTGGGAAAACCATGAACAAGAAGTGAAGTAGGTTCATCTCACAGGAAAGAGAATTTTCAGTGTACCTTTCTCATTTCTGAACTTGCTGGTTTTACCTCTTGTCATAAATTGATGAATTGGGATGCTGGCAAAATAAAAGGTAGAGGCTATATTTTCATTGTTCATTCCCTACGAAGATCTAAGCAACTACAGAGAAATAGCAAAATTAATGCTTGGAGACAAAGGCTGGTGCATAACAAACTCATCATGTCAACCAAGCTCAGAATGTAAATCAAGGAGCTCCATTAATACTGTCTTAATGGAAGAAACACATGCTGGGCTATCAGTAAAGGAACTTTGCAGCAATCGGTTGAAATGGCTGTTCTTTAACTACTTGGGTGCCAAGACTTCAAAGCTTCCGGGATCCATTTTTAATATGGAGATACCTTGGATTCTTAGGCATCCAAGAGTATCAAAGACTTTGTTTTATAGTTAGGGAAGGACAGGAAAGTAATTTCCTGATGTTACTGCAGACTTTAGTAACATTTGAAAAAAAATTGAGATATTTCCTTTAATGGAAAACAGTGATGCACATCATAGTGTAAGGCCCCATTCTCTGGAATCAGATTGCCCAGCCCACTTAACACTATGTGACTGTGAGAGACTGCTTCCCTCTGTGCTTCAGCCTCCTTATTTATAAAAGAGGACAGTGGTGCCTGGCGCACAGGTGCTTGGCAGGTGGCAGCTGCCCCTTATTAATTGGCATGTTGCACATAGTAGGCGGGTGGGTGGTGCACCGTGGGCCTGCAGAAAGGGCTGGCACGTGTAGTCTGCCATGTTCAGGCAGCATGCTGATGCATCCATTGTCAAGCCAGTCACTTTCCAGGCTGTTAATAGAGTTCCTATGGTTGAGCTTAATTGCCCTTGGCTAATTAAAACTGTTTAGGGCCAGGAGAGGGAGCAGGAGGCATGCACTGGGTAACAGTAACTGAGAACCACCAGCCTGCAATAGCAGAGTTCATGGGCTGATGGGAACTCTATTATTGATCAAGTGTCAGGCGTTACAGGACTTGGCTATTGATCTAGGATGGATCTTTGCCTACAGTGGATTCTTGTAGATGGGTTGAGGACATTGCATGACAGTCCCAAGAGTTTTAAGTTTGGAGTGAGCAAGGCAGGGTAGCTGGGCATATTACAGACTCCCAGGAGGCAGCATCCAGTCAGAAATCTGGTATCTCCTGAAGGGCTGAGTGCTGAATTCATGTCCTGCTCTACATTTTACTAGCTAGCTGACTTTAGTTGCTTAAACTTCCTTGCCACTTTCCCTGCCAGTAAAAGGGGGCCACACAACTGCCTGCCTCCTAGAGCTGTGGAAGGGATAAGTGAGCCCATACACATAAAGGACCTAGACTGGGGCCGGCCTAGCAAGCTGCTGAGGTGGCCGCTGTGGGTGCTGAGCCACGTCAGCCTGGCTGCTGCCTTCAAGGGCCTCACACCACACCGCAGCCCAACTCTCCCGTTTTATGGCCTGAGCTGAGCCGTACCTTTACCTAGTCCAGTGATGGCCAATGTATGACATGTTACTGTTTTAGGATAAAAGTTCATCATCCCTGGTAGTCTATTCAGAATTAATCATTCCTTTCTCTAGGCCATCACTTAGGAGTTACTCATGCACACAAGCCAATAGTGAAAAATGTTCACTACATCATTACACTATCTTTACACCTGTTTTAGGCTTAAATGCTGTATGAATTTACCTAGGGTCACTTCCATCCATGGGACAAACATCTCTATGTCACTATATCAGCAAGACCAGAGATCAATTTGCACTTGCGTTGTGCAGGGGCAGTGCTAGGCCTTGACAGTACAAAAGCATACAGCTCATGGTCCTTGACTCAGTTCACATGAAATCGGGGGAACCATCAAGTACATAGCTGAAATGCAGTGTGGTAAGAGTTGGGGTGGAGCAGTGCCCTGGGGACAAAGGTAAGAAGTCAAAGAAAGCTTGCTGGAGAAGGCAACAGGACCTGGTAGAAGGCTGGGTGTTAATAGTGGGAGGAAAATTGGGGTGGATAGAGGGGAGCAAGAATGCACAGGCCCCAAGATCGGCATACATGGCAAGCCCGGAGAATGAGTCACAGATGAAGCATTTGCTGTGGGCAGACTGCCCATGTGCTTCACAGAGATCAGGCATTAACCCTCAACAGCTCCCGTGGGGGGCAGGCACTAGTCTTGCTCAGGTTGCCAATAAGGACGGTGAGGCAGAAGAAGCCTAAGCAAAAAGCCCGTGGTCTGCAGCTTGTATACTCTGGAGCGGAACTGGATGTAGGCAGTGCAGCTCCTGAGCAGAGACCCTCAGATGCTGTGCCCTGTGCCCCACGGCTACACCATGTCCAGGATGGCTGGGGCTCCAGCTGGCCTGGGTAGCCAAGAATGCTGACAAGGTCAGAACAGCCGCTGAAAGCTTGGGAGGGACGAGGACAGACTTGCTTGTGGCTATGTTCTTCACTGAGGCAGCCCCCAGCCCAGGGTCAGATTTATTACATGCAGGCAGCAGTGTGACCCTGCAGGCTGAGGCTGCAAGGTAGGGGCAGGACAAATGCCTGCAAAGGAAACCAGGTAAGCAGGGAGGATGAAGATAGGGTCTGGAGTGGGGTGCATGGCTGAGCCTGGCTCTGACACTCACTGGTGCTGACCGTGTGCCTGTCTCTGAATTCAGAAAATGGACCACAGCCCCCAGAGTGGATGTCAGATTAAGTACGAGAATCCAATACTACAGGTTAGCAGTGTCACACTCAGCGTTACCATAGTAACAACCCCCGAATCTCAGTGTTCAGCACAACATCCACTTCCCGCTCTTGTTACAGTGCTGGGCTGCAGGCCAGTGGCCCAGCTCTGCTTGACTGCACATCTCCTGGCTGGCACCCAAAGTGGGAGGACTTCCCTGTGTGGGAGACAGGAACTCACGACTGAGGAGAGGCACCGCCCTCCACGCTGCTGGCAGCGCTCAGCCCTCTGCACAGCACCAGGTGGGATACGCTCCCGGAAACAGGGCGGGTATGCATGGAAGGTGTACAGCTACTGGTAAGAATACCCAAGATCCTCTCCAAAATGGGGCCAGAATACATCCCATGACAGTGACTGACATGCAGAAAGATTTCTTAGTATAATGTTTTATTTTATTTTTTTGAGACCTGGTGTTGCTATGTAGTTCCAGCCATCCTTGACTCAGTGATTCTCCTGCCTCAGCCTCTTGAGTGCTGGGATTAAAGACCTGCACCTCCACACCCAGCAGGCTTCTCCAGTATGCACCTGTAGTCCCAGCACTTAGGAGCCTGAGGCAGAAGAATCACTTGAGCCTATCAATTTGAGACCAGCCTGGGCAACATTGTGAGGCTGTTTGAAACAGACACAAAACTTGAAAGTCACTGTCTGTCACAGTTCTCACACTGCAGGGATGAAGGAGCTGGTAGTTTCTGGGGAGTATGCAGAGACAGGCCGGGGCTTTCCCAGCTCCAGCCGCCCCAAGGTATACAGCTCCCCACACAGTTGCCTTCCATGGTGGTGAAACAATTGGGAAGTGGGCCAGCTGAGGCTTCAGGCTTTAGAATTTCTCAGAGTTGGCTTTACTGCACTGGAGGGCCATCTCGAAGGCTTCTTGTAGCACGTGCTCTCCAATGCGAGCAACTCAGTCAGTGGGTATGGCAAGTGTGGCCGGTGGTTCCTTCAGAGACAGACTGCCAGGACGTCACAGCCCAAAACAGTTATATCCCCACTGAGGAGAGTGAGAGCTCGAGGAGCCACAGATCAAGGAAGTCAGCAGTTCCTTCCTGTCTGGGCTAGGGGAGAATATTCTCAGGGTGACAGAACCAAAGTGCTAGATTTTGGTGTCCCCAGCTGTTCAAGGTGGTGGGAAAGCAAGGCAGGGACCTGGCTCGCACAGCCTTGCTCTGTTACTTTACCCGGTGTACCTTTCTCCCTTGGAGATAATTCTTGCAAAAAGGAGAGGCCCCTACACAGATGAGAAATGCTGGAGTCAGGGCTTTTACAAAGTACCTGCGGTGGACACAAAAAACAAAGAGACAGGTTAATTGAATTATAACCTTAATCATCCGTGGACTATCCCCAGAACATTCAAGGTGAAACTCTGGAAGTGAGTGAACATTAAAATGCAACTCTAGCACATTTTCTGGCAAATCAGCATGACACTCTCCCCCTTCCAACCCAGCCAGGGCTGCTTGCCAGGCCTCTGGTATCATGCACATCTGTAGCTAACAGGACATGAAACCACAAAACACACTTCCATCTGAGTCAGTGAGTGGCCAGGGTGGACCAGGTCCTGTGCTGAAATCACAGACTGAAAAGTAAACACAGAAACCATGACCTTGCTCTCAAGCTTAGTACTGGGGAAGGAGACAGGGAACCAGCAGAGAGAGCGCTGTGCAGTGTGGCCTTAGCCCAGGGCCACAGTTCCTTCTAGAGGAGAAATCAGGAAAGACATCCTGGAAGATGCCATATCTGAGCTTGGCTCTAATTTGTGGAAGAGGAGAAGCAAAAGCTCGGAGGTGAAGGTAACCAGAGCACTTGCTGCTCCTAGGGCCAAAAGCAAAGGGAGTGCAGCGGGGTGGATGGGCCTTAGTCTCCCAGGTCTAGGCTGCTGGCATCACCGACTGGCTTGGTTCTGCACAGAAGGGCCTGTAGCTTGGCTCAGGATGGAGTTGCCCAAAACCATTCCTAGATCATCTCTTGCTATGGTAGTAATTTAGAAAGCAATCACTTTTGATAGCATTTATATTTTCTGAGGGTATGAAATTAGTTTTTCTCCAAACATCAGTATGTTTTCTGTGTAGAATTATCCCTTATTTAATGGAGATGGGGTAGGGTGCATCTCAGGCTTTTAAAGAATTCTGGGTAATTTTGATAGCAGAGAAAATTTGTCCATAAAATGGAGATTTGGGACCAAGGAAAAATACCACTAAGAAAAGTACTGGTCAGTTCTAGAGAACCTTCCCTACATGCCTCCCAAGCCAAGCAGACACCCCAAGACCAGCGAGGCACCAAGCCTGTCAGCACTTCACCAACTCCATCCAGTCTATCCTGGTCCCTCCAGTCCATCCCCTCCTACTCCAGCTCACCATCAAACAGGACACTTCAGATATGACCCAGTAAATTCTGTGACCTCATACACCACCCCCAGGATAACATTTAAGCTCCTTAGCAGGACATACAAGTATATGCTTCATGGCCCATCCTAACTTAGCTGTCTACCTTCCTTTCCTACCACACCTACCCACAGTTTCCTCCAGGACACAGCAAAGCAGCCTTGATGTGTTCATCTGTGGAGGACATGCTTTTACAGAAACTGCTGAGATAACTGCCACATCTCACTTACAATGACTGCAGATGCCCTCTTGCAGCGGGATCACTTGGTACAGTTTCCAGGACACTCCAACTCCTATGCACTGAACTCAAGTGCTGAGAAATGTGTGGGCATGTTTCCCCACACTAGAGATGCAGGAAGAGCCCCAGCGAGGCAGAGTATGCTCAGGACTACATAGCAGTGAATGAAGAGTCAGGGCCTTTCCACCTAGTATCTGAGGACACAGGTACAGCAGAAAAGCAGGGCCATCCCAGGTACAAAAGCCAGGCAGGGGCCTGAGTTCAATCCCAGTTCCACAAAAAAAAAAAAAAAAAAAAAGCCAGGCAGCTCTTTTCTCTTGAGGCAGCCCAGTCACTTGTAGCACAACAGGATGTCATCACACCACAAACCTGCCTGGCCACTCTCAGTCTCCCAGGCTGTGCCAGCCCCCAAGGCTGCCACCCCATACAGTGTACCCAGTGCAAAGAGGAAGGGAGTGGCAGGTAAGCACCAGGCAGAGCAATGACAAGCTGGCTGCTCTCCTGGGAAGGTGCCTGCTCAGTCCCACACTACTCACCTGGGATGCTGCAGCACCTGCAGCAGGGTGCTTCTGGGAGGCACCTGGTACAGTTCTGTCCTGTCCTCGTCCTCAAAGTACACCTATGAGATTAATCAGGAACCAAGTTTAGAGGCAAATGAAGTGCTTCATGGCTTACCAAACACATTGAGATGGCACCTATTACTAGCTGAATGCCTGCTATACAAAGCTGAGGGCTGTGTGCTTTGCATTCGTGCCTCCCTATGACACTTCAGGAAAAGTTACGGTCAGCTCTATTCTCCAGAGGCAGAACCAAGGTACAGGGAGAGACCTATTTTGCCAATGTCACAGCTAAACAGAAAACCCAAGACTTCAGCCCAGGCCCATGTAGCCTTCTCTTTCCTAACAATTTAACCTTAGAACTATCAGATTGAGAGATGGAAGGACTGTGGCCCAGAGCAAAGGAAGAACCAGGGTAGGTGAAGAGAAGCTGGTGTAGGGCACTGGAGCCTAGGCAGGGAGAGGAGGCTGTGTGTATGGGATGGCTGCTGGGGGTGAGGGTGTCCCTACCAAGAGCTGCCAGGCTGAGCAGAGCAGAAAGGGCGTTCCTGTGGTTGGCGGTGGCATGTCAAAGGCCAATCAGAGTAGGCAGAGAGTTCCTGTGTGGGACCAGCTTGAATGAGGCCTCCAGACCCAGGCAGGGAAAGGATGGCAACCAGGCATGGCTGGGGATGCCCTGCTGTGTAAGATCAGAGTCTAAGCAGGACGAGGATGTTCGGTCAGTGGTTAATCAGTGCAGGGTGAAGATTCTGCAGTTGAGTAACACTACACATACACTCCTTAGCAATGAGAAGGACCAAAGCACTAATGCCCTTCCCCCATATCGACAGCACTTCTACTGCCCAGAGATCTTGGCTTCTCAATACCACTCTCCACTAAAAGGAGCTCCTTGGGGAAAAATGGGTACACCAGTGCAAGAAAGCACAACTGGAACCTGGGACATCTGCCAGAAAGCAAGCACTTTAAAAATGGTGATAAATCAAAAGGACAGAGAAACAAATTTAAAGGGTTTCCCTCTGGCCAACTCTAGGACAATCTGACCACAAAATAAACCACGATAAGGATTTCACACACCTAGTATATTTAAATGGCAATGGAATACCCATGTCTGACAAAACTAAACAAAAAAAGGGATACAAATGAAGGACCAGGGCTGGAGAGATGGCTCAGTGGTCTAAAGCACCTACTTGGAACAAGCTTAGCAAAAACATCAGGGACCGTGGTTCAATCCCCCAGCACCACATGCCAGCCAGCCCTGCCCCCTGGTGGGCTGAGCTGGCCTCTCTCTCTCTCTCTCTCTCTCTCTCTCTCATATAAATAAATAAATAAATAAATAAAAATTAAAAAAAAAAAAACAAATGAAGGACCATTTTGTATCTGTATATACAAATTAGGATAGATATACAGCTACTTTCTCTTAATTCTATGAGAAGAGATTTGTACTAATATTGTTTGTACAGGATATCATGTCTGCATCTTATACTATGAATAACCACTATGAAGACAACAATATGTAATGTATTAATTATTTCAACTATCCCACTAATTGGTTTTTGAAACTGTCTCATTGCTATTTGTTTCTTGATAAAATAAAAATAAAAAATAAAAAATAAACCATGATAGGGAACTGGAGGTACATCTCCATGGTAAAATGCTTGCCTAGCATGTGCAAGGCCATGGGCACCATCTCTAGTACTGCAAAAAAACCCACAGAGTAAACAATCATAGTAGCAGATTTCAACTCATTGAATACAAGAGGAAATCGTAACTCCACTAATAAAAATGAAGGCCTGAAGAGCAACAGAGGATTTCTGTCATTTCCAAGTGTCTCCCTGTAAAATATTATTATAAAGGCAAGTGAGTAGCTGTACAGAGCAGCCTGGCAGACCCCTCCTCAGTCAGGTTATCAGAGAGGACATCTCAGCGAATGCCCAAATGGGAACCAGGCAGCACCCATGGGACACAGTGAGAACGCTGCATCCCTTCTGTGTTCTGCAATCTGCAGGTCAAGATCAAGCAACTGGAGCAGAGTGTGCGGAACTGTGCTGTACTGGGGAAAGCTCCTGGACGTGAACACGCTATGTGCTTCTGGGAAGGAGCTAAGGGCTGGGAAGAGCACTCCTGGAACAGAAGAGCCAGCTGTGGCCGTGCACGTCCATGAGGCCAGCACTCGAGAAGCTAAAGCAGGAGGGTTACAAGTTTGAGGAGAGGCTGGACTGCACAGCCTAAAAAAAATTGCTGGGACAACCTGGAAAATGTGAATGAAGCTTGAGAACCACAGAAGAGTAGTGTGCCACTGTTAACTTCCTGGTTTTGATGGCTCTTTGGGAATTATGAAGAAATGTCCTTGGGTTCGGAGACATCAGTTGGCATTTTATTCTTAAATGATTAGAAGATTGTTTTCTTTTTTAGTACTCAGGATTGAACCCAGGAGTACTCTTACTGCTAGCTACACCCCATCCCTCTTTAATTTTAGGACTGGGTACCCCTAAGTTGCCAAGTTGACAGCAAACTTATGATCCTGCTGCTTCAGCTTCTTAAATAGGATTACAGGCATGCAACACCCCACCCAGATAACAATAAACACATCATACTGTACGCTGTGATTATGTCTGAAGAAAATCCTGACACTGCAAGAAATTTTTTTTTTTTTTTTTTGGGGGAACCAGGGATTGAACTCAGGCCCTTGCACTTGCCAAGGAAGTGCTTATTCCACTGAGCCATCTCCCTGGCCCCAAGAAATATTATTCTTAATGTTATTCAGTTCTAAAAAGGAAGGTTTGATACATGCTTGTAATCCTAAAACTCTGGGAGGCTGAGGCAAGAAAGAGGAATGTTTGAGCCCAGAATGAGGAGCAATTTAAGTGACTTATTAAGAACTTGTTTCAGAATAAAGTAAGCAAAGGGTTGAGCACACAACTCAGCACAAAGGCTCTGGGTTCAATCAGAGCACCAAATAGTAAGTGATAAAGTTTGACACATATGACAACACAGATGAAGTTGATACTATGGTAAGTGTCATAAGTCAGACACGAAAGAACAAATATTGTGCGACTCCACTTGTAGGTGGTACCTGGAGCAACCACATCTAGAGACAGGAAACCAACTGGTGCTGCCAGGAGAGGGGCGCGCAGCTACTATTCATGTTGGCATGATGGGAAGTTACAGAGAGGTATGGCGCCAATGCTTGCAAAACAGTGGTAATGCCGCTGAACTATGGGCCTAAAATTGTAAATATGTATATTTTATCACAATTGAAAAAAAAATTATCTCTATGCCTCAGCTCTTTCCTTTTAAAAAGTTTCATTGATGAATGAAATAGAACTTCTCTTACCTCCAGATTATCCACGCGGTATTTTTGCTCTGAGTCCCAAGAGGGTATTTCAGCGAACATCACCATTAGATGATCAATAAACCTAAGGACACAGCAGCATGTACTATGGGCATCAGTCACTCATGATCTCCTTTGCTACACCAGTCCCTGGACCCAATTCCCACATATAAAAAGGTTTAGTCCATTTTGATAGCACTGTCCAAGATGCACCTGTTTACCACTTGCCCTATGATAGTTTCTCTTAAACAGAGTTAAAAGCATTTCTTACATTTAGCCACATTCAGCATTAACTCTTTGAAATTGTAAGTTTCTAATGTACACTTAATCACTACGTGTATACTACCTACAATGATTTCACACTCCACCAGCAATGTAGAACACTCTGGTCAACTGTTACTAGCTACTGTTACTAGCCTAGGTGGTACGAAGGTGAAACATGGATCTGCCAGTACAAATGTAGTTAAAATATAGCATAGAGAGGGCACATCGAACCAGGTTATGTGAAACTCCCTATTCTCTTTTCTCCTCAACCAAAATCTATCTTCCCACAGTGTCAAGGCAGCTGGGAGATACAAAGACGAGTGGGGGCTGTTGGACAAGGAAGTACCTGGAGTCCTCATGAAAGGCAGAGATGAAGTCCGACTGGGCATATTCTGGGTACAGGAACAGCACGGGCCAGCTCAGCCTGCCCTGGTCATCCAGACTCAGCCTGGCACCATAGGGGTTCTCAAAGCTGAGCCCATCCAGAAAAACCTCTCCACCTTCTGAGGCTGCACCCCCATCCTCACCAGCAGCTTCAGACATGAGCCTGATACTCCTGTCCTGGGTCAAAGACAGAAATGTACAGGGCTAGGGAGATAGCTCAGTGGCATAAGCACCTGCTTGGCATGCACAAAGTACTGAGTTTGATTCCCAAACCCAAAAA